AATTTAAGGGGGTCTGAATACTTTCCGTACCCACTGTATAGCATTTGTGCTCATAGACACTCAAAAAATGCAATTGTATAATATATGCATTTTACCTAATTACTTTATGTTAAAAAAAGGAAAGGAGGAAAGTGTTAAGTCTTTTTGTATGGTATCAGGTGATTACTGCCATCTTTAAAGGGGTCCTATTATGTTTTTTCACTTTTTCAACTTTAGTTAATTTTAATGTTAATGTTTAATGTTGCTGTTTGAGCATAAAAAAAATATACAAAGTTCAAAGTCCACTTCAAAAGGAGATATTTTATTTAACAGAAATCACTTTTCAAAAACTACAACGAACGACTCGTTTGGACTACAACGCATATTTTCTGGGATTTGTGATATCACAAATGTCGACGAATGGGATGAGACCTGGATGAGCTGCACTAGAGAAGGCCACGAGTGTTATTATCACTATGTCAGAGACACGCTAGCTTTCCCAAGGCAGTCGAACTTAGAGTGGTTACAATCACCAGGTTTAAATCACGCTCAAATTGATTTGATTTTGACGCAATATTTAGTTTTAACTAAATTTAAAGTCTGAATTTGTTGGCCGACTATCTCTGTCATTCCATTAGCAAGCCCTTATCCAGCTCTTTATTCATTACAGAAATCATTCTTTTCGCAGGGAGGTTTCCACATTGTGCTTCCAATCCTAGATGTGTGCAACATTTTATTTAGCGTCTGCCGTATGACAGCATCCGGTTCGGGCCAGCTGGAAATGCTGGGCCCCTGTCTAGATGTTGGAATGTTTTGTGGCAGTGGTTCTGTCTCCCCTGTTGGAGCGGGCCAACCTGTAATCTGTCTGAGGTTTTGTGCTGGAGAGTCAAGGCTGCATAACACCTAAATAGCACGTTAACCTCAGAATTCTTCCCATGCTGTGGTGTACTGACGAATGCGGGAGGAAAACATCGGTGAACCCTCTGCGACTTCGGTAGGGTTCAACATACTCTGCAAGGCCCTGTTATGACCATGTGGAAAACGCATTACAAAGTAAACCCTGAATGTAGATGAGTCATTTATACCTTGAAACAGCTTTTCGAGAAATACTTTCTTGTGGTTTTTCACTGCTCTACACAAAGGACTGCATTGTATTATGTTGTTGTCTTAAATCAGACACCGTGATTTGCACTGGGATAAATTTGATTTGTTGTATAATTTAAGTCAACATCAGATGTTACATTAATTTTCAGCTCGATAAAATAAAGTGAGTTGTTTACTGCTGGGACAAATGCTTATTTTTTTGTTCTAAAAGGGTCGGTTTTCTCCTTTCTGTTGCAGGTCCTTGCTCTCATTTCTTTCATCTTCATTGAGACCATAATGATGTGCTCGCCCTGTGCCGGCGTCTACCTCTTTGAGTTTGTCAGCTGCAGTGCCTTCGTTGTCACAGGTGTCTTGCTCCTCATCTTCAGCCTGAACCTGCACACCAAAGTGCTCCATATCAACTGGAGTCTAACAGTATGTATAGTTCTTATCAAGATCCACACAACCTTACAAAATCCTTTACAACGTTAGACTTTTAAATGTATAGTTTGCCCCAAATTTTTTTTTGCAATTTATTCACCCTCATTTAATTTCAAACTTGTATGACTAATTTTAATTTAATTTAATTTAACTTAACTTAACTTAACTTAACTTAATTTATAGTGCTTATTTAATTGTGTTTTCTGTCAGTTTCTGATGTGTATTTATCTGAGCATTGAGAGGAAGTGTTTGCCTTGAAGATATTTTTGCTGTGTAACTACTTTTCCTTCAATCCATTTTTAATGGCATAATATTTTAAGAGGCACTTGTGATGATAGATTACCGAGGCAGAAGTTACTTGTGACGATTAGCTGTTTACATAAATGGAAGAAGTTTTTTGTTGCCAAGACATGCCAATAACTCTGGCTTTTTAGAAAGCAAGCCGCTCTCTTGCGTCCAGTGCTGCTGAGGAGGAGGCCATGAACACGGGTTCATATTGCTCAGAATGAAGCTTGTGTGCTCATAGCTCTCATTAAACCCGCTTCTAGCAAACATGAATGGCTGCTCTTGGGAGATGAATTTACTGATTCACTGAAAGATTAATAAGGCATGGTTCCTTTTGTCTCCCTGCCTATACACACACACACACTCACTCACACACACACAAAGCTCAGCATAATTGGACCTCAGTGCTGTGGATCTATTACAGAGCTTATGATGGAAAAAGCTGTAGAGTTTTATTTCCAGAGCTGTGCACGAACCAAGAAAAGTAACAGCAACTCACATCCAACCATAACTATTGCGTTGCATTATGATATACTGAAGAATATGTGCTTAACCTCACATAGACAACAAGGAAGTGCCTCTGGCACTAAAAGTTTGAATTTCAGTGTTTTACTACACCCAAATGTAGACAGAGAAAATTGGACCCCTTTTTACAAACTGGTGTAAAAAAAGTCATATATTTATGCATTTAACCTCAATAAATTATATATAAAGAAAGCTTAGAGCATCACATTTTGATTTAGGACAAGGCCTTTACTCTAATTGCTTTTTTGTGTTGGCTTTTTGCCACTTTTATAGAAGTGCTTTTTAAAAATTGCTTTTTAAAAAGTGTTTCTCCTCTTCTCTAGTTGCTTCCTAATCTAACTAACTCATGTCATATATTTATGCATTTAACCTCAATAAATCATATATAAAGAAAGCTTAGAGCATCACATTTTGATTTAGGACAAGGCCTTTACTCTAAGTGCTTTTTTGTGTTGGCTTTTTGCCACTTTTATAGAAGTGCTTTTTAAAAATTGCTTTTTAAAAAGTGTTTCTCCTCTTCTCTAGTTGCTTCCTAATCTAACTAACTCATAGACAGATTGCTTTTGTTCCTCCTTTGTAAGTCACTTTGGATAATTTCATTTAATTTATTAAGGATAGAATTTCATTTTTTTTTCAGTGGATAAATGACAGGAAATGGTGGGGTAAGAAAATAAAACGAGATCAGGAAATGATGAGAGCTGAATTCAAACTTAAATACCTCACATGAGCATCAAAGCTCAACTTGCTAGATCACATAAACCACATTTTGGCTGATGGGAGAGATGTTAAACAGGGTGAGAGTGTATGCTTTTGTGTATTTTGAATACTGACGGATTGGGGTTTTCTTGGTATTGCTATGGCTCATTGGAAGATCTATGATCTTTAGGATCATTTCAGCTGTGGTGGGGCTGAGGTTTTGGACTGAGCATCATCTCCTGCCAGTTGGACCCCATGGGCGCAGGCCTCTCATTTGTTCTGGAATGGATGCACTGGGAGGGGGGCTCTCCTCCCCTCTTTCGTGTTTGTATCTCCAGCTTGCGTAACTTCACCACTGCTGTGCTTCAGGAACTTTCACATAACGCAGTGCTAAAAGTAAACTGTACTTTTTGGTCTTGTAATTGTGGCCTCTGTCTCAGAAGAGGGTTTTTTCCTTTTGAGAGAAAATCCTCCCAAACCCAGCGGCAATTCAACTTCTTTCTATAAAGAGCAGAAATGTGGATGGTAGAACTTTTAGGTCTTAAAATCAGATGTTTGTGCTAAATCCGTTATCTTCTAATGTTGATTTAGTTTAAATAGCGGCAGATCGGAGCGTATACACATACAACTAGCTGGTAGTTTCTTGTGGCAGTTGGTTTTGTGGTGGACGATTGCACAGCACCCCCTATTCCCTTGATTGCTTTGATGGTGTGATCCAGTGCCAGGCTCAAAGGGGGCTGGCATAGTGACTGACATTATTGAAAGTGATAGGTCAGTAGAATGAGCGCATTCAGCTCGTGGTGGTACGGTGGCACCATTGTACCCATTAACAAACCATCTCCAACCACACACACATACATATACAGAAAAGCATGGCCAGTGTTCATTGAGCACAACGAAAAATAGGCAGGGCATTTTAATAGAAAGTGAGGAAAGATTTGACTGTGAGGTGACGGGATAATGATTGATGAATTTGCATTGTGTGCTTTAATGGAATGGCCACTCTGAGACTTGAGAAGCTTTGCAGTGAACCGATGATTATGTGTCATTACTGGACACGAGCATGAGGCCAATTGTGAGATGGATAAAGATGCATTAAAGATGTGTAATTTGGAAATCTAACTGATAAAGACTAAATTACTATTATTGAACTATGTAAATGTACTTTCCTTTTTAATTTTTTCTCATATTCTAATATTATCAGAATGATTTCCCATCTAGTACCACCTTTTATAGTGATGGGCCTGTTGGAGGATAAAGGTTAATAATGTATCATGCTGTTTGTCCACACACACACACAGCATCCGAGAGCACCAGCACACCAGCGGAAGGTCCAGGAAAAGCTTTTAGCAGCTTCATTTAAAGCTAAAGTCTCGCCACTGAGGCGGATAAAGAGATATGACTGAACGTTCAGGATTCTGGTTATTTTACTCAGTAAATCTGGAATGAAATTATTATTATAATTTTTTTTACATTTCCAAGATCTATGGGCCTCCTGTTGCTTAAAGCAGTGTCGTAACGCAGCATTCACGCACCACTGAGAATATTTGGCACAGGCTGTATACTGTTAAGACCCCACCTAACTCATGCATGTATACATTTTTTGCATTGATTATCTGCTTAAATATGTTTCTTGTGCATATAGTTTTATTTTTTTACAATTTAAAAAAATATTTTTTTCTTTTTCTTTCTTTCTTTCTTTTTCTTTCTTTCTTTCTTTCTTTCTTTCTTTCTTTCTTTCTTTCTTTCTTTCTTTCTTTCTTTCTTTCTTTCTTTCTTTCTTTCTTTCTTTCTTTCTTTCTTTCTTTCTTTCTTTCTTTCTTTCTTTCTTTCTTTCTTTCTTTCTTTCAATATATTAAAAAATCTAACTAATTCCTGTCATGGCAAAAGTTACTTCATGTGATCTTTCATATGATCCTTCATAAATCAAAAAAATCAAACAACATATCTTACTATTATAGATGTTGAAAATTATGGAAGCCCATTTCCGCCACTGAATAAAAAAAAAACTTTTTTTATTTCTCAGAATTGCGAGATATAAACTTGCAATTGCGAGTTATAAAGTCAGAATTTTGCGAGATATAAACTCGCAATTGCGAGAAAAAAAGTTTGATTTGTGAGATAAAAAGTTGCAATTACCTTTTTTATTTTTTATTCAGTGGCGGAAATGGGCTTCCATAGAAAACTAAATATTTTTGTGGAAACCTTGATTAATTTTTTCAGGATTCTAGCATTTATTTGATATTCTTTTGTGTCATTATAAATATCTATTATTATATGTGACCCTGGACCACAAAACCAATCTTAAGTCGCTGGGGTATATTTGTAGCAATAGCCAAAAATACATTGTATGGGTCAGAATTATCCATTTTTATTTTATGCCAAAATCATTAGGATATTAAGTAAAGATCATGTTCCAACCATAAATACATAAAAACAGAATTTTTGATTAGTAATATGAATTGCTAAGAACTTAATTTGGACAACTTTAAAAGCAATTTTCTCAATATTTAGATTTTTTTCTGCTCCCTCAGATTCCAGATTTTCAAACAGTTCTTTCTCGGCCAAATGTTGTCCTATCTTAACAAACCATACATCAACGAAAAGCTTATTTATTCAGATGATGTATAAATTTATTCAGATAAATGTATTATTATTTATTCAGATGATGTATAAATTTATTCAGATAAATGTATTATTATTTATTCAGATGATGTATAAATCTCAATTTTAAAAAAAATTGACCCTTATGACTGGTTTTGTGGTCCAGGGTAACATATTATAAATGCAAATCAATTTAATTCATCCTTGCTTACAATGTTCCAGTAATATTATAAAACAGGTCCATTTCAAGTACAGAGATCATCAGTCCTTTGTTAACAACGTGGAGGGCCGCAGTGACTGTTAAATACATCAGAGATCTGAACCCAGTGTGAACACTACATTTCCCAGTTTTAGACCCCTCCTGAGATCAGTTTGCTTTCTCTACATGCAGCCTGCCAAAACACACACACACACACACACTACTGAAAGTACATTTTAAGAAAACTCATGACTGCTTTTGTTTGTGTTCAGTTTCATATTAGGTTACCTGCATTAAATGCTTAATCATTGAATGTAAACTTCCATCAAGCTAGTAATGTATATTTATAACTAAATAATTCTGTGGACGTTTGTTCCACCTCAGGCATATGCTTTGCGTTCTTACGCTTAGAATATTTTAAGCGTGTCAGCAGTTTTTAGCATTAAGTGTGTTTCAGTTTGGTTTGGCTTGCATTTGATCCATCTGTTGAAGTATGTGTGAAGGCAAAGGCTGGTTTGGCATGTGCTTGAATGATTGAGACCGTATCCTGGTTTTGGCATATAGTTAGTGTTCTATATTGCGTGTGAAATGGGCATGGGTTCGCTTGAGTGAGTGTGGATAAGAGAGAGCGAGAGAGAGTATCATGTGAGACAGTGTGTGCAATCACTCACATCATGCATTTTGTCACATGGGTGGCCATGCCTAAGTCACGCTGGAGTGCTTATTGGCTGCACACAGACGAACCACCCAGCTTTATCCCTTCTCCTCCTCTCAGAGAGTGTATTTATGGAGGTTTTAAGGATAAAGAAAGAGAAAATGAGACTTTAATGTTCTATATTGTAAGGAATCTGGATGTTACCTTATTTTCAAATAATAAAATAAAAATAAAATAATCTGTAATATATGTTTGTTATTTGTGTGTGTGTGTGTGTGTGTGTGTGTGCGCGTGCATGTTTATGACACAAATTTGTATAATGACATGGTTATGACATAGGTATTACAACGAGATGCACAAAGTTTTCTGTGAGTGGTAGGTTTAGGTGTAGGGTGGGTGTGGTGCGATAGAAAATACAATTTGTACAGTATAAAAACCAACGTGTGTGTGTGTGTGTGTGTGTGTGTAATCTTTTTCAAAGATTTTCATGATGCATCTTAAGTGTACTTTTACACAACAACACCAATGTACTAAAAACTGAAAAGTTTACCTTTTGTGTTCATGAAAACTTATATATGCAGACAACGGCATTGTCAAAATGATCCCTGTTCATAAATATTTGTGAAAAAGACTAAAATATTATCTTAAGAAATGTTCAATACACCACAAAGGGGGGGGCCTAATGGTTAGAGAGTCAGACTTTTACCCCGATAGTTGCGGGTTTGAGTCTCGGTACTGGCAGGGATTGTAGGTGGGGGAGTGTAACTGTTGACATTATATTGTTTATATTATGTATATGTTGTTTACTTTTATCTGAGACCATTTTTGTTATGAAGAAACTAAGTTGCATTTATTATTTGTGACCAGTGCTCTCTTCCACCCTCAATACCAGGACTGAGGTGAGACCCTTGAGCAAGGCACCGAACCTCTAACTGCTCCCAAAAATGCTGCAAAAAATGCCTACCCACTGCTCCGGTGTGTGTTCACGGTGTGTGTGTTCACTACTCACTGCTGTGTGTGTGCACTTGGATGGGTGAAATACAGAGCAATAATTTTGAGTATGGGACAGACACCATACTCGGCCACATGTCACATCCTTTTCCTTTTTTAAACCAAATATTTAATTTTCCAAGGCACAACAGTTCAAAATGTCTTTCAAACTGGCCCTGTGTCAGCAGGACATCTTCAATAGTTGAACTGTGGTCTGTGATTAGATCAATTCCTCATCCAGCAGATGTGTGTCATACTGCATGTCCTGTACAGCTGCCTAGAGCTGAGAGGAGCAGACAGTCTGTGTTTACTTGGAGACATCAAAGCCAGCGGGTCGTGCTGCGTCGGCCTGTGATGTGAAATTCGAGGTGCCAGCCACTGAGGTTGTGCTTTGAAGGGCTTGTTACATTTCACCCCCCACAGAGTCATGGCTTAGACAAAACCCACGTCCATTCCAGACTCAGGAGGAGTGAACAGAGAAGGATTTGGCCTCATTTCAGAAACCTCCAACTGGTTCTTCTTATCCTCACTCTCTCCTGAGAGCTTGGACTCTGATTTGTTACAGTATTAAAACTGTAAACTGTGACGTTACTGTTACAAAGTGCTGGGTGTATTAATAGAGGGAAAACTGATAGTAGGAATCAAAAATAGGAAAGAGACGTTCTTTTGAACTTTTTCTATTCATAAAATAATGCTAAAAACAGTATCATGGTCTCCACAAAAAATATTAAGCGGTACTAATGTTTTCAACAGTGGTAATAAGAAATGTTGCTTGAGGCACAAATCAAAATGATTTCTGAAGGATTTCATGAATGTTGCCCTGCAGGCACAGGATGTAACGTCAGGTTGACGTTGGACATGATGTTACACAGACGTTGCATTTTGGTTGAGAATGAAAATCGTGTTGACGTCAGTATTTGACGCCAATTTGACATCAACTTGGCATTGGATTTTTGTTACACAACCTAAAAACAACAAATATCAACATCAGCTGACGTCGGTATTGGACATTGATATTAGACATTGAATTGACATTGAGTTTTGGTCACCTGGCATCGCAACCGAAATTTAACCAAATATAAACGTCTTACGACGGTGTGCGCCTGCTGGGTTGTAAGTAAATAGTGCATTTGCTTGCCCCCTGCCTGTCACCCTACATCACTGCAGTCAGCATAGCCACACCTCGCTGCCAGCTAGCTACTTGTTTGATCATTAAAGGTTTACTTATAGTTTGATCAACTCTTTAACTTGTGAAGGTGTAAACGTGTCTGTTGATATCACTTCCCTTATGGAAATGTTATTATTTAATGAGCTAACCTCTGTGAGCACATACACACAGATAATGGTTGCCCCTCCTTCTCTGTTTGTAGACATAATTTGTTATTTGAAGGAGATTCGTCTCTCTTCTCCTGGAACAAAACATGACAATGAAAGTATATGCGTTGCTTGTGTGTGTTATTGCGTGTGGCGAGATGTGTAAATTTACAAATTTCAACACTAGTCCCACATTTAAATGTGCTTGTCAAAAAATATACAAACCCATGTGCCTTGTATGTTTAACAGATCAGAGGTCATTTTGAAAACATAATGTATACACTGTGCAAAAGTTTTTTTTGTTAGTTTTTTTTCAGCAGCCATTACTCCAGTCTTCAGTGTCACATGATCCTTCAGAAATCATTCTAATGTGCTGATTTGGTGCTCAAATACTTGAACTTATCAAGCTTGAAAAGAGTTATGCAGCTTAATATTTTTGTGGAAAACATACTTTTTTCAGTATGCTTTAATTCTCTTATTCTCTCTTGCAGGATCTGATCAACACTGCCACCAGCACCTTGTTCTTCTTTCTGGCTTCAGTGGTTTTGGCAGCTCTCAACCATAAAACTGGAGCAGAGATCGCAGCTGTGGTATCTATCCCCTTACTCAGCGCTTTATTTCATGAATTGTGTCGCTGTGCTTGTGGGTGAATTCAAATGTTTAGTCATTTCTCAAGTATTTGAAGTGGGCCCTAGTCTGCCGGGGTTCTGATGCCCTCAAGTGGCTGAAATAGAGTAAGCACATAGTCATTCCTGGAGACAGGAAGACAAAGGGAAGTTCTGAGCAGTCATAGTCATCAACCTAAAGGTTTTACATGTTTTTCTTTAGTTCTTTGATTTTTAATATTGAAAATCGCACTGCTTCCTCTTTTCCTCTTTCTCCATCCCACTTCTCTTTTCACTCAGTTTTGTTTTTCTTTTCCTCTTGTGTTTCTATTCCAAAATTCACAATGTGTGTCAAGTTTTTACTTGAGTTTTATCACTCATTACAAATTCCCACATAATTTAGTTACACATTAACTTCATGTTTGTAAAATATTTTAGCCTATTTGATCATGTTTTAGCTGTCAATAAGACACACTCAGCTCTGTTTAAATCTGTTTCACAGAATAACTGGGAGCCCTTTTCCACCTAAAGTCATAAAAGATCAATAATCGTGAGATAAAGTTTTTAAATTAGAAATCTCAGATACAATGTAGCAGTTGTGAGATTTTAAATCAGTTATCTTTACTTTGAGACCAGAAACAGGCTTTCATAAAATTCCATAATTCCACTGATTTTCCCCTAAAATCAGCGCAGAAAATGCCCAAAAGTCCATTGCCTCCATCTGGGATCGCTCATTATGGTGTGTTATAACTGAAGCCACTATGAACATCTCATATTATGCACATACCTTTCTAGTTAGTTTGTCTGTTTTGGTTGAGGCTGCTGACCTCTTATGACTGTGAAGAGGTTTGTTGTAGATGGCTCAGTGAAGAGAAGTAATTCCCAATATTGATACAGGATCAGGTTCTCTTACTGAGATCCTGACCTTTATGATTTTAGACACTTCAAGAATGACCTGAGATCAGCAAAATATCCACCAACACCTTGGAAGTCAAAGGCTGGGGATTTGGGCTAAGAGTTTTATGATACAGATGTTCTCAGCAGGAAACCACTTTAACACCCGGGGATTTTTCTGAACCACAGGGCACTGCAAAATTCCTTCAGCCCTCACAGCCTGCCAGAGACATGGAGTATTTGCTGTTATCTGCCTCATATTGAAATTTACTAGAAAACAGATCTATATTATTTAGACATATAGTAGATGTAATATGTACGTCACTTAAAGAAATGGTTTATCCAAAAATGAACATTTGCTGAAAAATTACTCGCCTCAGGTCATCCAGGTTAGAAGATTAGAAACTTGCTCATCACCTGCTTATCAATGGATCCTCTGTAGTAAATGAGTGTCGTCAAAATGAGAGTCCAAACAGCTGATAAAAACATAAAAATAATCCACAAGTAATCAACACGACTCCAGTTAATGTCTTCTAAAGTGTAAAGCGGCATGTTTGTAAGAAACAAATCCATTATTAAGGCTTTTGAACTTAAAACCGTTGCTTCTGGCCAAAGTACCTGTCCATTATCCATAATAACGCTTCCTCCAGTGAAAAAGTCCATCCCCTATTGTTCTCCCACATCAAAATCTACTGACATGTTTGTTTAGAACTGCCTTGGACTTTATTTATTCTGTGCATATTTACTTCAGATTCAGATGAGACAACTTTTTCACTGACGAAAGCAATATTATGTGTAGAGGATTCGTATTTTAGCCAAAAGCTACCGTTAAAAACATTTTAATGATGGATTTATTACAAACCGCTTTTCACTTAACAAGGCATTATTTGATGGACTGGAGCCCTGTGGATTATCGTGATGTTTTTATCAGCTGTTAGGACTCTCATTCTGACGGCACCCATTCACTTCAGACGATCCGTTGGTGAGCAAGTGATGTCCAATTTCACCAAATCAGTTCCGATGAAGAAACAAACTCTTCTACATTTAGGATGGCCTGAGGGTGAGTACATTTTGAGCAAATTTTTCCTTTAAACCTTCATAGTTCAAAGATGAAAACTTTCCCCTTCAGTTTTCTTGTGTATAAATAGTTGTTTTGTGTGTGTTTACATCCAGATTTTCGGGTTCCTAGTGATGGGTGTGTACGGTCTGAACACATTTTTGGCAGTACGGAGATGGCGTCTCGGGGACTCGCGAGATGGACCCCTGCAGACCAGCGAGTACATCCGTGCCCGCACAGCCTCACGGGGAGAGGTGGAGTCACGGCCTGAGCTACAGTAAAGCACACAGGCAGACCAATGAAGACTGAGACAAGCAAAGCCTGTCTGCATTCCTGGCACAGTGTGCTCTTTCATATCCTCGTGATGGGAGCCTGACGAGCGGCAGTCAGGAAGAGCGCTTACAAACAAACAATTGCGTGAACAGTCTAAAATGGAACAAACCTCTGGCATCTTCATCAGTCTCAGGCCAGCATCTTTTGACTTTATACTTAAATACTGTATATTTATGTTAATTAAGGGCTTTACCTTATAATGATCTGGATAATTATTGCCTGAAACTCACTCCACTGTGCTCCTAAACTCCCAGCGGGGAAAGGTTTTAATAATGCCTGCAATAAAACCCGCTTCTATTTAGCTCTGCATTCTATTTAGAATGCAACTATGCCTTAAATGTCTTATCGAGGATTAAAAATAACTATACAGAATGGAATAATGGAAATGAATGGTTGCTAAATAGACTGATCTAAGTGATCTTTCTGACTGAAATGTAATGGGAATTTGTAGGAATGTTTGAGCAAAAACAATTTAAAAAAAAAATAATTCTCTGCCATTGTGTTCCTGTATCAAACACATCTAGTAAACTGCCGTTGCATTGGGCTGTTTTTCTGTAGAGATGAAGTGACTAGATGATAGGAGCACCAGTATTTATTTTAATGTTAATTATTTTTTGTAATACCACAGCTTTGGTTGCTACATTGTATCAAATGTGGAATTTCACCTTGTGAATGTGTCCCTGCATTGCAACAGACAGTTACAGCTTTCAGATTGTCTGTGTGGGTGAAGGGAGGTGTGAGTTTATGAAACTTTTTAGTCTAATCTTTAGATGATACAAATGTTTAGTTACTAAATCGTGTGTGCATAGTCTGTTGGTCATTTTTGTTGGTCATTATTTTCTCTACTCCACTGTGTACTCCAAGTTATCTGTATATGTCGATTTAAGCAAGGGTAGAGTTTTTGAAGAAGGTGTATATATTACGTATATGTGTGTGACATTTTACATTTCTGAAGGTTTCCTATTTGTATGAATTCTGACACTAATAGACTGTATTTGAAGGAACAAGTGTACTGCAGTACATATGAATGCATTAGCTAACTGTGTGCTTTAATCATAGAGGCTTTATTAGTCGAAACCCTTGGACACTAATGTTACGACAACATTAGCAGAATAACTGCTTCATTGGGTGTGAAATTCAAACATTTTATTTGCACGCTCTGATGAAAGTGGTAAAATGATCTGTTTTCTGACGTGAAGCTTTGTTGACCTTCTAATGGGTCTTTTTTAAAAGAGTATCATAGAATGACATCGGGGGGGAATTAAATGCATCTTTTAACACAGATTTTAAGGCATAGTGCAATTGTTCATGATTTGTTTTTCACTAGAAAATGCTAATTTGCAATATTCGTTTATATATTCATACTTATGTCTTATTTTAAGTTCTTAAATGAAGTCACTTTTATGTTTTGGAATAAGACCAATGTTGAAATGAAGTCATTTTGAGTATAATGTCTCACATTATAGACATTGATCAACACTGTGTGGGCTTGAAAACGTTAAAAGACAATCACAAGAATGATTTTTGTCTTAATGAAGGACTCTGCATTAATGTGCTGAAGTCACTGAGTATTTGTCCTATTTTGAAAGCAATACTGTGTTGCTTATGCTTTAATAATGTGTAAGAGCTTTCACTGTGCTTTGACCTTGTGCTAAACTTCTTATTGGAAGATTTTAGCATCAAAATGATTCCTGATTTTGACCTTAAAGCTGCAATCCGTAACTTTTTTGTGTTCAAAATTTACAAAATGTATATAATAAGCGAATACACCATGAATCCATTTACCTAACCGTGTTTTTGGCTTTTCCTGAATCACTACGGTACACCTATAATAAGTGTTTATATTCGGACTATTTAGACTGGTTCGGGTAGGTACCGCTGCGGAGTAGCCCAATACCTGCGTGATTCGCCATAGACATAAACAGAGAGAAGTAGCTCCGGCTACTATGTTCTTCCGCAAGACGCACGCAGTTCTGTTTATTAACCGCTAGAGCGCCAAAAGTTACGGACTGCAGCTATAAGGTTTGAACTGTGTTTTCAACTCATAAATCATTGAAGTGTTTCAAAAGAAACTTAAGTTGACATTTTGAGGGAGTCAAATGATTTGACATTTCCCGTATTCAAGAAAGCAATGTTTTATTCCATGTAACAGTGCTATACATTTGTATTTTTGTATTTATAGAGTTGTGCATAGACTTACAAAATGCTAATTGTTTAAAAATAGCTGTGATGGCAATCTTTTCCTCAAATAAATGGATTTGGATGGACTCGATCTGTAAATGGGACAAAGCCTTACTGTGGTACAGGAATCCACTGCATTCACAATCGCTAAGACCTATTTCTCAATACTTGTCACTTTTTCAAAACTCTTCATCCAGTGAACACAGCAGAAGTCTACAGTATGTGGGCTAAACTGTGGATCATTTTCCAGTGCTTTGGCACAAAATACATTCAATGACTACATATTTCCATTTACATGAATTCCTCTCTCACTCAGAAACAACAGCCACCAATATATCTATGTACCTACAGGCCCATTTGCATGTTTACAGCTCTCTTTTGTGTTACCTTTAAGTTTAAAATCACAATTATCGAATAAGACAGACATTTTCTACATTTATACCGTAATACCATATTGAAATATATTCCCAAAAAAATGAAATACTGTCAACACAATTAGTTGTAGCTGAACACATACACAGGTCTTTCAATTTCAATTGTATCTATACAAATGGGTGCAACTAATTGGACATTGTAATATATATTGCAATGACTTCTAAACAGTAGAGATCTGAAATGTTACAAAAGAAAAACCTATAATGATACTCGAATGAGTGTACTACATGTTATGTAGTGTTTTGTTCATTTTAGCACATTTTGGATGTGAAATTAACTGCTGTGTCAAGATGAAAGTTGGCAAGGAGAACTGTGACGAGTACACTGTAAATTCAAACTCACTGAAATACACCACATATCACTTACAAACTCCATCACATTTTGCTCCTAACGTTCCAAATGACTGGCAAAATTGCTTGCTTTATTTGCTAAAAATAAACAATACTAACAAAATTGCACCAAAATTATTTATTGATGTGGCAATCTGACAGTGCATGCTTCCGAAAGAGTCCTTAAAGTATATCCACTCTTCATAGAAACACTAGAAGGTGGTTTACATGTGGTTACATGCAGCATGCCTGAGAATACGATAGTAAACAAGGAGATGCTCCTGTATGCACTGCTGAAGCTCACGTCTATATTACAGGTTCAATAGCAGAAGAGTGGCACTGTAAGAATAGTACATCTCTAAGTGAGCATGATAAGACAAATCCTGCTTTTTTTGCAGTACTTTGGCAAGACATTGGATTTACTTCAGCATTAAAAGACTAACACCAATGTGTAGACCTGTGGAAATAAGACAGGTGACTGGCCAGCCAACCACCTGCTAATTTCATACATGATGTAAACTTATTTTATTGCTACAAAACATTAAACATTAAAACATATTATTATTCCCAATACAGGGCTTCATCACCAAATCATGCATCATTTTTTAAAAGAGAATTTAAGAGAACATATTTTGAGAAAATATTCTCTCAGAATAGTTCTAATTAGTAAACATATACACACAGCTCCCAAATATAGACACATTAAAAACACACTCGTACAATTTGTAAAATCTGAACTGAAAGTGACCACACACACAATCATACTAGAAGTAGACCTAAGCCGTAGGAGGCAGTACATAAACATCATAAATGGTACAATACTGCCCTTTCTTCCAAAAACAGTCATCAAGCTTGACTGATGTGAAGCTATGCTGGAATAATTCACAGCTTTGGGAAAATCAAATGAGAGAGGCTTAGACTGCTTGGACGCATGTATATACAAAGATTACTGAAAACTCTATAGCTTCGATTCTGTGATGTGACATTTGAAATAGACTGCTTAATTCTACTGACAAAAAGCATACCCAAAATTTCAAACAAACAATATAAGGTTATACCAAAGTCTGTTTTGGTTGTCAGGCACTGTAGTGGTCACACACCAGGTTTTTGGACACAGCTTTAGTCAGAGTCAGAGTCTGAGTCATCATCTGTGAGGAAGAAGAATGTGTTATTCTGGAAGAAAGAGCCTCTGAATAACGACAGGAAAGAGAAGAATGAGATGGGGAATTCCCAGTGAAAAGAATCTGCCATGGAAGTTTAATGCATGTGACTATGCATGACAGTTGCTAGAACAGTTTGCTTATAGTGAGAGTTAATTCCTACATTTAAATGATACCAAAGACTATAAAATGGACTTTGATGATACTCCAGGAGTTCTGCCTGGTCACTCACAGTAACTAGAATAAAAGCTACACTGTGGATAACTATTTATGAAGTTATGAAACCACACTTCCTGAAAACCACGTCACCTTTCACTTCCTGTGTCTAGTCTCACTACTAGTTTTGCTGCTTTAGTTTGATGTGGAAAGCTTCATGCATGTATCCTGAGAATGAAACTCCAGCAGAGAGAGAGGAAAAAAAGAAAGAAGGGTACGTTCACATCTCAGTAGTTGCATTACTGTTCAGAAGTTTGGAATTGTAAAATATAACAATTTAAAATAACTGTTTTATATTTTAATATATTTTAAAATATGTATTCCTGTGATGGCAAAGACTGGTCATTCCTCCAGTCTTAAGTGTCACATGATCCTTCAGAAATCCTCACTAATATGCTGATTTGACACTGAAGAAGCTTTTTGTTTTATTACCAATGTTGAAAACAGATGTGAAGCTTAATATTTGTGTGGAAACGGCAATATAACTTTTTTCAGGATTCTTCGATGAATAGAAAGTTCAAAAGAACAGCATTTATTTGAAATAGAAATCTTTTTGTAAAAATATAAATGCCTTTACGCACATTTACTGTCAATTGAATTCATACTTGCTGAATAAAAGTATTAATTTCTTTAAAAAAAAAAGTTAATCAATTAATTCTAACTGACCTCAAACTTTTGAATGGTAGTGTAAATAAGAACCCAGTATTGATACCTTGCGTGTTTGGTGGCTCTTCACTGGAATCACCTCCCTTGAGGAAGTTGGCCAGTTCATTAAAAATGAAATAAAAGTCCAGGGCAAAGAATATTGTGGTAATGAAGCCAAAGACCTACGAAGTGAAAGAGAAAGAAAAACAGAGACACATGAAACCAGTGCAAACATCACACAAGTCACATGTTGTAAAACTATATGATAGTGCCAATAAAAGAGAATTTGACTGAACTGATGTGAGCCTACCCCAGCGGCCTTTGAGGCTCCATCCACATATTTTGACACAGATATTATAGAGATGATGAAAAAGATGATGGAAGCGCTGACACAGCGCAGGAAGTCCTTGATGAAACAACAGGCATGGTGATTAGGACAAAAGGGAAGAACTGTTATTCATGGACACATGTTATTATCTCATGCTCTATGAAGTTCCAGCACAGTAATTTTGTAGGTCAGAAAACTTACCATGAGGGGCCAGTGAAAGCCCTTAAATCTCTCATTGAACTTTGTAGAATAAGCAAACAGCAAGAAGAGGGCAGCCAATAACTCTATTAAGGGAGCTGTGATGAAGGCAGCTGCTGTTGAAGCAGCAAAGCATACAAAACTGATGAACGACATCACCTGAGGGGACAGGATACATAAGGACACATTTTTTGTTAATTATTGTTCTTCATTATTTTGTTCATTGCTGAAAATTAGCAACAAGGTGAGTGCACCAGACCTTTTAAAGATATATTTGCATTTCATGCCAACTTTAAGTTTGACACTGACTTTTTTGGAAACTTGCATTGACAGAGAAGAAACAACTGGCCATTTATTTGTCTAAACTGAAATTATATATATATATATATATATATATACCTCCAAGTGCTGTCTGAAATTTTATTCTAAACTTAGTATTTTTATCAGGCTCCTATGTTTAGTCTCAGTAATTTTACTTTAATGACACTATATAGGTCATTTTCTATGCCATTAAAGTGAAAGAACTGAACATAAATATAGGAGCCTGATAAAAATGGTCATTTTAGCTGAAAATTTCAGATGGCACTTAGAGGCTTTTGCATCTTTTTCATATATTCAATTCCCAGGGAACACACATACTGGTAAAAAATGTAT